ACAAGGCGGACCCACCTGCGTCACAGCCCGTGCCAGATCTGCCTGCTTCGACACGATCCGCATTCTATTACTCTTATTCGTGGTGGTGGTGGTGGTGGTGACCTCCATTTGCGCCTCCGCCAGTCCCGAGCTGGCGCCCAGAGTGACGGGCAGGTAGCCGATGGCGTTGGGGGTGGCGGCCAGGGCGGCCAACATCTCCTCGGGGGTGGTGATGGGTCGACCCTTTTAGGGGTGAGGGGAGGGGAGGGGAGGGGAAAGAGCCAAGGAAGGAAGGAAGGGAGGATGGAGGTTGGAAGCACACGGCCATAAGAGCAGAAGAACAGGGGACAGGGCGGATGGGGTGAGGTGGGTGGGTGAGGTGGCGTGGGTTGGGGTGGGTGAGGTGAAAACCATTTTCCCCGCCGCCATTTTCCGGTGTTGCGAACCCACAAGTAACAGGTAACAAGTAACGTATTCGCTATTCACCGGATCCGCCATCCCCACGAGCTGTTACTATCTACACAGGTACTGTACGACCCAAATCGTACAACCACCCCAACCCTTGACGCCCCCAACCCCTTCACAAACAGCACCACTTCCCTCCCCCGCCTTCACTCTCCCTCCTCCCCTCCCCTTCCCTTCCCGCGACAAGCAGAGCTTTGGAGCTTTGGACTCGGCACGCAGTACTGAATGGCGCCCCCCCACACCCCACGCAACACACTTTACCCCCTTACCCCACCCGCCCGCCTTTTCCTGCACATCTCTCTCCTTGCCCCCTTCCCCCCATCCCCTCCCGCCGCCTCTTTTCCTCCTCCTCGCCCGCCACCGTTAAGAGCCCCTTATACCTGATACGTGGTGTTTACCCCCGCTGCCCACTCCACACTCGTCAACGGCCCCGTCGGCGCCCGCCAATCGTCATTACACGACTTGGTCAAAAACCCGGTCAAAGCGTAGGTGGCCCCCGACGGCGCCGCCATCGCAAAGACTGTAACGCTGGCTTTCGTTTCCTGTTCTGCAATGGAGCTGGCGGCGGCTCCGTTTAGGGAAAATATCCTAGGATCTTTCCAGGCTTTGATCTCGCCTCGATATAGCTGGGCCAGGAGCTTGCAATTGAGGGTTAGGGCGGTCCAGCCGAAGGATTTCGTGTGGTAGATGCCGAGAGCGGAAATGGCGAAGGGAAGCTGGAGTACGGCACCGATGGTCGGTTGTGTGGTTGGGGAGTTTAAGTTGGACCAGAGGGAGGTGTCGAGCGGCATGTCTCCCACCTGCGAAATCCCCCGGGAGAGAGGGGCGAAAGGGGTTTGGAGGAAAGTGGAAGGAGGAGGAGGAGGAGGGGCGGGAGGAAGGGAGGGAAGCGGGGGGGAGCGGAAGGGGGGGGGGGAGATTTGATGGCGTATTTTCAGCAAATCGAATCAACGAAGTAATGAGCCCGGAGTAAGGGGGAAAGGACGAACCACTGACGATTGAAGCAGAGATACCAGAGATAAACGGATGATAGCGTGAGGTGGAGGGAAGTGTAAGAGTAGCAGTACTAAAGACCTCAGCCCCCCAGCCTCAAACCCACTCCTTACCCCCTCCCTTAACCCCCAGACCCATACCTTGAAGTGGTTGTACGACGAGTACATGTTTTGTACGTCCCCCAGTTCCAACTGCGCCTCCACACTGCCCACCGCCCGGTACGTCATGCTGACGGGCACTCGAGCCCGACCTTGCAACACCCGCATGGAGTGGCGGATCATGAGCGCCGACACGAAGGAACCGGAGCCGTGGACCTGCAGGGAAAGTGTATTCGCGTTATCGCGTTATTCCTGGGCCGTATGTATGTATGTATGTATGTGTGGGGCATGGGGGGGCATATCTTCACCCGTGGCTGCTACCCGGCGAAACCCTGTACCCTTCCCCGCGGGTATTTCGGGGCACCCTCATCTAGTCATCGTAGAAGAGGAAGCCAGGGCCCCCAATACCCCCCCGATATGCCCCCCCCTCCCCCCCTCCTCCCGTCTGGTACACTCTTGCCCTGGCAGCAGCTTCACTCGTTTGTGGTTCGTCTTTCCCCCCCCTCCTCCTCAGGCCCCACCCCACCCCCATCCCGCCAATCCCCGGATCCAGTACCTTTCAACATTACACACACGCACACACAAACACACACACACACACACTACACACATACACGCAAACATGCACTGCGTGCGGGCGTATGTACGGACGTACGGAAGTACCTGGTAAGCGTCCCCCAGCTTCAGGGTGTTTTTGGTTTCCTTGTCGTCGGCCGCCAACGTGCTCATGGTGTTCATGAGGTACGAGTCCCGCTTGGAGCTGAACACAAAGTCGCGCTGCCCGTCGACCGTCTCTGTGCCGTTCTCTGAGCGCCACACGGGCGGCGACACATCTACGATGGTGCTGCTCAACAGCGAAGTCAAATCTTGACGGATCTGCGGTTTGAATTTTAAGTTGCGGTTTGAATTTGAAAATATTAAGAGCAAAGCATGTGCATTTTTTTGAATGATGAAAAAAATGGATTGGGGGCGTATTAGCACTTTCCTTTTTAAAATGGAAAATTATTATCCTGAAGGGCATTTTGCTTCAAAGGTGTATTTCTTACAAGGGAAAGTTAAAAAGGGGAGAGGAGGGGAGAGGAGGGAAACACACACGCATACACGGGGTCTCCCCCCTTCACCCGCCCACAGCCTTCCTGCGCGGCCCCGCTTCCACATCTTGCCCCTCCCCCCCACATACATACATACATACACACATACATACATACATGTGTGCATGCATGCATCATACATACACGCACCTTCTTCGGCAGTGCTGTAAAGCTGTATTCCGGCATGATTGCCGCCACGTCATCAGACAGCATGTACGACAGAAAGAGCTTCAGGAGACCGCCTGGAGGGGACAAGGGGGGGGGGGGGTAACGATGGGCGGGGGGGAATGTTTCTGTGGCGAGTAGTAGTACGACGCAAAAGGCAACGAACACATACACACATACGCCCCCTCCTGGGGCCTAATCGAGACTCACATAGCCTCATCCACACCCACCCATCCACCATAATCCGCTTGTAAACCCCCAAGCCCCCAAACACACAAACCCCGGCCCCCTCCACCCACCCATCCACAGCCATCAACACCCCCCCAACCCCTCAATATCCCCACGCCAAAACTGCCCCACTATCTCCCTGCCCTGCCGCGACCCCAACCACCAACGAACAACCGCCAACCCTGCCCCTTTTTCGCCCACCCGTACCCACCTGTCTCATTTAAATACGCTAGATTTGTTCGTACATAAAAGTAGGTGCCCAGGGTGAGCGGCCACTGGTTCTTGGCGTCGCTGGGGCCATACACGGGGTTGACAGCCGTCCAGTTGGCGGTGGTGAGGTTGCCGAGGGGGAACTGGGAGGCGATGAAGGACTCGGGCGCGATGGCGGCGTCGCTGGAGGTGAGCGTGAGGTTGTTGGCGTTCAAGATCTGAACTTCCTCCAGCCCTATGACAAACATAAGTCGGGTGTGTGTTTGTATGTATGTATGTGTGAAACAGGGGGGTATATCTTCACCCGTGGCAGCTACCCGGCGAAACCCTGCCTTCCCCGCGGGTATTTCGGGGCACCCTCATCCAGTCACCCTAGTCAACTTCTCAGTGGATCGCTCAGGTTCCGCACCCACCACCAGCATCCAACGGAATCTGCCGGGTCGACAGCAGCTCAACTCCATTCCTGGTCGGCTCGCAGGTTAACTTTATCACAGGTCACCACCGTCCATCAACTAGGGGCGCAATGCCTTCCACCATCGGAAGGACTTTTGACCCTATGTATGACGGCTGTGGGGTATGGCGTGTGTGTATGATTTGTGGGGGGCTGGGGACCCGGGGCCCAATCATAGATAGATAGAGAGGAGAACGGGAAATACATACATACGTACATACATACATACATACATACATACATACATACATACATACATACATACATACATACATACATACATACATACATACATACATACATACATACATACATACATACATACATACATACATACATACATACATACATACATACATACATACATACATACATACATACATACATACATACATACATGCATACATACATACATGCATACACATACATGCATGCATACAAACAAACAGGATTCTGGAGAGTCTCCCGGCGGGGCGGAGTGAAGGAGGCAGGGCGGGAGGATTAAAAATAGGTACGCCCGGGAAGAGTGATACAAGCGGATTCGGACAGAGGATGGTGTCGCTGCCCTGGACTAGGTGTTAGGTAGAGAGACCAGAAGAGCACATTTATCACTCCTCCAAAAGCGTCCATACCCCTGCTGGGCGGCCCCCCCGCTGGCCCCCCCCTTGCCCCCGACCCTACCCTACCCTACCCTACCCTACCCTACCTGCCAGCAGTCCCTGTCCGCTCTCCACATAGCCCAGCGAGTACGGGTTGGTCGCGATCTGCTCCACCATGGTTTGGGAGTTGGTCACCATCGTCCTGCGGGCTGCCGGGATGGAGGTCCAGGAAATGGTCACACCCACACCTTGGCCCTTGCCGCTCCATTCCCCGGGGCAGGACCTAGGGTAGGGCAGGGTAGGGTAGGGTAGGGTAGGGTAGGGTAGGGCAGGGTAGGGTAGGGTAGGGTAGGGTAGGGTAGGGCAGGGCAGGGTAGGGTAGGGTAGGGTAGGGTAGGGCAGGGCAGGGTAGGGTAGGGTAGGGTAGGGCAGGGCAGGGCAGGGCAGGGTAGGGTAGGGCAGGGTAGGGTTGGGCAGGGCAGGGTGGGATGAGTTTTATGTCCCGTCCGGTCCCATGCCAAAATTATTGCTCCCTTGGAGAAACAAATGGACAATACAAAATAAATACTGCAGGAATGGCGGTTACCTTTTTCTTGCTATAGTTTGTAGATGTTTTGCAAGCCTAAAACACATCAATCATTTTAAGCACCGCAATCTAACCTACTAAAACCTAAGCATCTAAAATACCTTCAAAAAATGTTTCTTATTTTATATAAAAATTTAAAAACATTTAAAATTTTTAATTATTTTAAAAACATTGGATTGAAATTTGTAGGGTCGCCAGTGGAATCCGCTCGCTTCCGAATTCCTTCATCAATTCAAATTGGAACTCCTGTTCGGAAACCATGTCGTACCACTCATCTTACTTGTTGAGGTAGTGAGTAAGCGCGTACGTGCTGCTGGAACCGTTGTTTCGGTGTACGATTCCGATGCTGGCGGTTATATTGGCCAGATCCGGCAGGTGGGTGTTGTTGGTTACGATCTCTGGATGGTTCCACTGGGAAATCTCGCCTCGAAAGATTTTCGCGAGCGTGCACGGCGGCAGATACAAGCCCTACACATAGCCGACACACACACACACACAGCCGACAAACAAACATACATACATATATACATGTAGGCAGGCGGCTGGCAGAGGTTAAGGCCTGACTTCTGCTCCTGGCTGACCCGGGTTCAAATCCGCCTGCCGGCTCCTCGGGTGTTTGAGGAGTGTTGAAATGGGAGGTGGCCCCCCATCATATGGACGATGAAGGACGTGATAAAATCAACTTGCGAGCTGACCAGGAACTAAGTTGATGCGCTGTTGATCCGCTAGATTTGGTTGGATGCTGGTGGTGAGTTGCCGAACCCAACGAATACATTCTGAAGTCGGATGGGGTGACGGATTAGGGTGCCCCTCTAGCAGGGGAGAGCAGGGACTGCCCGGGAAAGGGGCCGCTGGCGAAGTTAACCACCCTGTAACAACATATACATACATACATGTGTCGCAACGTGTCTTTTGCGAAGAAAAGTAAAAGAACCAATTAAAAATTAGGGCGTCAAGCTATATCGCAGAGAGAGAGAGAGACAGACATACAGACCAAAAGAGAGAAGGAGAAGGGGGAGGGTCGGATTTATGAAGAACAAAAGAAAAGGAAATATTAATTGAGCACTTAAACTTATACTTAGACTGCGTGTGATAGCGGCGCGAGGTCGCACGGTGCGATTGGTTACTCCTTCAGGTGGTGAAGTAAAATCTCAAGTAACTGAGCCGCGACCTATATGGGCTGTGGGTGTTTCCATAAGCAAGGAATAAGTCACAAGCCAAAAGACCACCAAATCTTCTTCCTCAGAACCGTGTTGCCCCTGAAATCCTGTTGGCCCGCTCCTTCTTACAGCACCCCCCCATTTCCCTGACAGCATACCCTCCCAAAGGTGCTGTACGCCGTACGCCGTACAGCGCACAGCTGCCGTATCGCCGTACCTCTCCAATGCCGGGGATATTGTGGAATATGGAGACAGAGCCAACGAGGAACGGCACGTGCATCATGGGGTTGTTTTGCTGTAGAGTTCGGTTAAAGTTAGTTGGGCTGATGGGAACATCTCCGCAGCCGAAGGCGGAAGAGTTGAGGGCTGCGAATTCGTCACCGCCGGCTCCGGAACCAATTGAACGGTACGACATGGCGATTTTGGGTTTTGTACGGGCCATCATGGTGTCCATGACCTGCGAGTAAAGAGAGCGGAAAAGGTGCGGGAGAGAGGCAGGGTTCGAAGTATGAAAGGTGCTGTTGGTAGGGTAGTTGTTGTTGTTGTTTGTGGGTAGTTGGGAGGTAGTTAGAACCTAGTAATAGAAAGAATGAATCATGACTTTAACAGATGGACGTATGGCGTTGCCTCAAACACGGTTATGGTACAGTAAAGATATCGCTTAAATACTCGCGGGCAGTTCATTTGCATGCGGCGTGGATATTGAAAACGCTGTCCAGCTCCAGCTCTGTTGCTGTGGATACAAGAAAGCTATTCCATCGCATGCACCTCGCAACCTAGGCAACCTGATCTGCAGCAAGGTTTGTGCGCACGCATGGATCAGATGGACAACCAGGCGTGAAACCCGAAGCCTACAAGTGTTGATTCCCCCTGGTGCGACTTACACGCCAGATAAGTAACGCGGGATTAGATGTGCCTGATCCATGAAGTTGGTACAAAGGCATGCTTGGGTTGATCTGTGACTGCGCCAGGCCCGCCATCGACATGAGCAGGGCGGCGAGCGCTGCAAGCGCTGCTCTACCAACGACAGCCCTCCTTAGCGTTGGCATGGCTTTTCTGTATAGAAAAAGACAAAGCATGGAAATTTCAGCATGCCTCACAAGATCATTCGTGGTTACGCGAGGCCATTGCTCAGCTGGGTAAGCTCGAAGCTCTGAAGCGTGCGACTATTAAAAAAGCTAACCTGTAGCAATAAAGCCAAGCCTTTCCCAAGCCATGTCAACATAGCAAGCGTCATACATTTCATGACCTTGGTCTTGTTACATTACTGGGAACTAATGCCGTACATCAACGTAACGCCGTCTCCGCTGCACTTCAGTGCATCGGCTATAATGCAGTCTAGTATGGTCACTGTTGCACCTGGTGAGAAATGTCACAGCGTGGCCTAGAGGCCAGCTCTGCATACATCGCCGGATGCATATGCGCCGCGGTCGCAGGGGCATTCCTAGCTACACAAAGTGGCATCAACTCAACTCTGGGATCCCATACGGGTCGCAGTTTCGCGGCAATAGTTAGTTTCGTTGTCGGCTTAGCAGCGCTGGTGGTATTCTGGCTGGTCGATGTGTATGGTCTGGGCGGCAAAGGACCTGACCGCCATTCGGTCGCAGGTAGATCGTGTCAGGAGTGAGATCGTGCAACAGCAAGGGAACTACCCCAAACGATGGAACATCACAACAAGCCCAACCCCAACCGCGTCCGCACAAGAACGAATTTCGCAAGTACCATGGCGACATCGGACTCCTCAGTTTCAGAAAGAGACACCCCAAACACCAAACACCACTCAATCCGCAACTTCTCTGAAAATTTATCGCTCAGAACCTTTTTTTCCGCCTCGCGAACGCGCCCCGAAACCATCTGCGCCCTCGCACCCTCTCCGAACTGAAATTCAGCCACGCCGGCTAAAAAATCCGATCCCTCGCCGAACTTCTACTTCTGCTGATCTTCTCCAAATCCCCTGCTGCTGCAACTGCTGCTGCTGCTGTTACTGCTATTGCTGCTTCTGCTGCTGTTGTAGCTGCCCCTTGGTGGGCCTGGACGGGCGGCTTGATGGGCGCCTGGTACGTGGCGGTGGTGATCATATTCGCGCGAACGCTGGGGGCAGCCGCCTTGATGGCCATCTTCGTGACGGCGCAGCTCAGCACGGCCGTGACACTCGACGCACTTGGCTGGGTGGGCTTCAGGTAACATGCGGCTTCTTCGCAGTGGGGGGAGTGGGGGGGAATGGGGGTAACCGTATGTGAGAAAGTGGGAAGTGAACTGCTGCTGCCGGTGTCCTCAAGGTCCGAGGAAACGGGGGGGGGGGAGGGAGGAGGTAGAGGGGATGCGGGGGGCTGGTTTGGCTGGGGCTTGGGAGTAGGTGAGTAGATTATTATAACAGGAACATCACGACGGTGAGGTGAGTGCAGAGGGCACCAGTTGCGGAGTGTTTGGGGGAATCCGGGGGCTGTGGGGGGGGGAAGGGCTGGGGCCCCCTGGGGCGTCTGGTCATTCAGAGGCTGTTCTTGGTGGAAGGAGCAGATTTGCCTGCTTGAAATCTGCACGAGTCCACACACCGCACACCACACATACAGACATACAGACATACATGGGGAGCACGTGGCGCGACGCCGTCGTCAGATCATACTCTCGTGTGTAGAATAAAATGCCCGATACAAATGGAGGCAAATGAAGTGAAGTGAAGTGAAATGCGATATGAAATTAAAACCTGCGGTTCCTAAGCCCCCGAGGTTGCCTGTGCTTGCGTTCCGTACGCTTCCGTACAACTCCCGTACAACTTTCCCACGTGGCCGCCAGGCGACGGCCCCTCCATTGGGCGCGAATCGTGGGCCTGCTGCTCATGATTGGGGGGGTTGCTCTGGTTACCTATTTTGACGGCACGCATGGAGTACGGAAAGGCGCAGCTGGCCACCTAGCCAATGACAAACTGGACCCCAACATCCGTACCAACACCAGCAGCACCAGTAGCAGCACGAGCGCCAGTCAAAGCTCCGGAACCAAGGTGCCAGCCGAAACACTCGTCAGGGGTTTGGCAGAGGAAGATTCACCAAAGATGTCTGCAGCTGCCCTAAGGAAGGACGAGGAGGGGGAGGGGGAGGAGAGTGACGGTGCACCCCTGATTCGGAGTGTTGTGCTTCGGAGCACGGACGCTTTGGGGACGTCTCGGGGCGATGAGTCGGACAGGCGAAGGGTTAGGAGAGGCCTGGAGGAGGGTGGGGAGGAGGAGGAGGAGGATGCAGTTGCTAGGACGCGGCTGCTTGCTGGCGTTGGTGACGTTCGTAATAGCGGTGACGGTCATGCTGGTGGTGGGGATGGTGGTGGGGATGGGGATGGGGATAGTCGTTCTCCCGCGTTGATGGGGTATGGTGGGGGGTGCGGTGGCAAAGGTGGCGCTGGAGGGGATGTTGAGATGACGATGGCGGTGCGGCGGGTGGTGGCAGCAAGGGGGCCAGCTTCCTTGCCAAAGAGCTGATGATGATGTCGATGACGATGATGATGATGATGATGATGATGATGATGATGATGATGATGATGATGTCGATGACGATGATGTCGATGACGATGATGATGATGATGATGATGATCGTCGAGCGTTTGGAAAACCTAAAACCCTAAAACCCTCCAGGTAGGGCCCGCCAATTGAACTGCAGTGCAGCACTGTACTTGCCACTGTCGGGATGGTGCGTGTGAGTGAGTGAGTGAGCGAGTGCTTGGGTCTCATCACTCGCGATTTCACCACTTCACCACCGACTGAGGTGAGGTGAAGATTTTGCTCCCGCGATAAAATATCCTTTAAGCGCAAGAATGGCCGCGTAATGGCCTATTTAGGAAACGTCCTTTCCGTAGGGCAAGGTTGCTTAGACGGTTTGTAGACTAGGAAGGGAATTGGTGCAGGCACGCGCGTGTGTGTGTACGTGTATGTATATGTGTATATGTGTGTGCGTGTGAACGTGAACTGTTGTCCCGCACACCGGTGTTGCCAAAACACGTCTCCACGCGCGTTTCGCGACACTCTCAAGGACGAGTGCGGGGATGCAGGGTGGCTAAGTGATAATCATGTGGCCGAATAATGCACGTACTGCCGTACAACAATTTTGTCGTATCCGCACCTTTTTTACAGATGCTACGGCGCGATTCAGGATGTGGGGGGATGCTACTTTGATTGAACCTGATCCACGCGGTGGTGCTTTTCATGCGACGATAAGATCGTGCAGATGTCCCGTACGACCCTGGTAGTTTTTTAATTTTCGGAGACTGCCGTACCCCAGTTGGGTGGATTTTGAAATGGATTTGAGATGATTTTGATAGATTTGAGCCTTAAGATGATAAGACTTATCATCTTAAGTCTGGTTGGTGTTGTGGCCCAGGACCCAGCCGTCCGGGAGCCCGGGATGATGGTATCGTGCTCAGGCGCCTGTCCCGGTACCGAGTTTTTTTATTGCGCACAGGTGTTTTTTTTCGGTTTCACCCGATTTTATTTATCCCACCTGGCTCGTACGTAGCTATCAGGCGATGTATGCGGCGCCTAAACCTGTGTATCTTACCGGTGCTTTTGCGTGTATATGTATGTATACAGGTCACAGCCATGTGAATAGGTATGTATGTCCTGCCAACGCAGGACAGAGGGGCAGTGGAGATGTGTGTGTGTGTGTGTGTGTGTGCGTGAGGGGGAGAGAGAGAGAGAGCTCTTCGCGAGGAGAAGTATTTCCTGCAAAAGGGGTCGCGAGGCGGAGTTAGTCCTGTGCGAGGAATGGCAGATAGAGCGGCCGATGTCCAATGCCGTGGTTAGGTGGTTGGGAGGGAGTTGTCCGCCTGAGCTGCAACCGCTCAGGTACTCTCTTACCTGTCCTTCAAGTTTCCTAGACAACAACGTAGGTTCTCAAAACTCACCCTTCTCATTGAGGATTGCGAGGCCAGGACGCAGCTTTGCCTTAAAATTGCCTGGCCAAGATAGAAGAGATCCAGTTACATTGGAGCAAAAAAACGCCTAAACTTCACGTAAAATATCATGTACGACATTCCTTTGTGACGTGGGCATTGTGCGATTTTTGCCATTTGCCCGTCGGCGGTACACTACAGCTGTCTTTTTAGTTGTTACAGTGGGCTTCAGTCTTGTGTGTGTGTGTATCGTTTGAAAGCTGAGCTGCGAGTGGGAAGTACCGCGTATGTATGTATGGATGTACGTGTATGTGAACGTGTGTATGCGTGTATGGGCTGTACACACGTATACACGCATACACAGGCGACCGCACATAAGGCCCATGTTGCCTGCTCCACTGCAGAGCTCGGGGAGGACACTGCGTGTCGGTAATCCCCCTCCCGTCTCCCTCCCATCTCGCTGCCCTCCCTTCCGTCCAACCCCGTCCCGCATCCGCTCCCAAACTGCCACCCCCCGACTCAAGGGCCACCCATCTCCACGACCACCCACCATCGCTGCCCTCGCCCTGCACATCCACATTCACATTCACAAAGCGCCAGCACCATCGCCAATAAAGCGTGCCCAACAAAAGCCAAGGGACCACACAGCTCCCGGACCACACCCAAGCAAACAGCTTTTACTGTTCTAAACTCGCCACCCATCCCCGGAAGAAGTCCTAAGGCCCGCAAGGGACGGACCCGGCGGCAGTGCCAGCGGCGGCGGCGCCGCCGCAGAGACGAAAAGCTCATACGCGCGTGTTCTGCCCTTCCCACAACGACCTCTTCCCCTCCTCGTCAGCCCTGGCCATTGCGAGTCAAGGGTCATTCACCGTCGTTTCGTCATCTATATATTAAAAAACGTGTCCAGAATACGACACAATTAATGTGTGTTTTGGATCACCGCCGTTGTCGTCGTCGCCTGCGTCTTTTCCATCGTCTTCTTCATCTGCCTCTTCTTCTGGCTCTTCAACTCCACCAGATTGGCCTGGAAGATCGCTAGACCCAAAATCCTAGGGGTGCTGTTTCATTTCAACGGACGTATGGAAATTTTACTCCTCCAAATCCAGCAAGAGCGGCGGCGCCACATCCAACCAAAGCTTTCCTTTTCGCCTCACAGCCTTCGGCCTCCTACTCCCCAACCACCACCACCACCACTGCCCCGCTGCGCCCCTCCCCGTCCCGCCCACTTCCTCTGACTGCCCCTTCTTAAACCGCAGTCACGACTCACACCAAGGGCGACGGCCCCGCGTCCGTCACATAGCCCCCCGCTGCCGCCATCATCAGCATCTCCGTGCCGCCGCCGCCGCCGGCCGCCACCAGCGGGTGTGGCGGCAGAGCCGTGAAGTGCACCTGCTGAGCCTGGTTGTTGATCTTGGCAAACAACAGCCGCAGCACCCGCTCCCGGTCCTCCCAGGGAAGATCTCGGAAGTCTGAGCCCACACGGCCACCACCGGCACCGCCACCTGGCGCGTCCACATGTGAAGCCGACGGTTGTTGTTGTTGGTGGTGCTGTGATTGTTGTTGCTGTTGTTGGTATTGGTGCTGCTGGTGTTGGTGTTGGTGTTGGTGGTTGTGTTGCCGGGGGAAGAGGCTTTCTCGCTCGATTTCGCGGCGCACCGCATGAAGACTGGACAGCAGGAAGGCCTCCACGTCACTGCGCTGCAGCAACACCTCCTGCACGCGCGTGCGTGTGTTTGTGTTGTGTTGGGAGTTGGGGGTTGGGAGAGGAAATACATGCAAAGTTTAGGAGACAAGTGCGCATGTATGTATGTATGTATGTATGTATGTATGTATGTATGTATGTATGTATGTATGCCTGACTCAGATTACACTGTGGGCGTGTATGTGTTTGGGGGGATGGACAGTGTGGGTTTTCAACCCTAAGGGGGCTTCCCGAGGTGTGTATTTTTGGCTGTGTGTGCGTATAGTTGCAGTGCTAGGGCGGATACTAGCGAAGGACGGGCTGGCTGGTTAACTAGCCGGCGGAAACCCTCAACCCCTTTCCCGCGTTTTCCCCCCCCCCCCCCCTTCCC